AAAAAAAAAAAAAGGAAATAGTGAGCATCCAAAACTAAGCCATTCCCAGCTAAGTACACTGTATTAGTACAGTCTGTTCAAACAGGGTGAGTGGGGTTTATAAACAAATACAATCCTCTTCCTCTGTCTGACAGCAGGGGATAAGAGATGAGGTAGTGCAGCTCTAGCTCTCAGCACCCTCAGCATTCTTTAGAATGGAAACAGCAGCATAAAGTGACAGTTGATAGAATTAACTTGTAATGCTTATCCATGAACCCTTGTTTCAGTGGTCACTTGCTCTTCGGAACGCATCGGTGCATTTGCAGTAAGTGACTGCTTGAATTGCGTTTGCATGTATTGTGATAAACATTTCTATACTTGAAACAGACAGAGTTTAGTACGACACCCAAAGTAAAAGCATTTTCTAAAATGAAATATCTGCTACACATTAATCCTTTATGTGCAATACAATTCAGTCTTTGAATATGGTGCAATTTTCAAACATAGCCAGCAAAGACTGAATCTGAAGTTCTTTCCTGTCCACCTTATATTTACTTTTTAGTTGATGTACATCTGTTAATGCTTTATTTCTCCTCCTGTCCATAATTGTTCTATTTCTTCCATCAGCTGGCTAAAGAAGGAATGAATGTGGTTATCTTGAGTAGAACCAAAGCATCACTGGACCGGGTGGCCAAGGAAATAGGCAAGAACTTGTTTTGTCTGCTTTTAAAATTTGGATTGGGTCTACAAAAATGTTTGTCACCCGTAAGCATTAATAATGTGCAGTATATTGGTGATTTCACATGTTCATTCTTCACAGGCAATGCCACAGGACAGAAGGTGAAAGTGATAGTAGCAGACTTCACAAAGGATAATGTTTTCAGTGAAATTGAGGATCAGCTTAAGGACCTCAGCGTCGGGGTTTTAGGTTGGACATTTGTAAAAAAAAAAAAAAGAGAATGTCATTAGGTATTGAGGATACTAATGCCTGCTGATTTTCTTCCTGTCTGTTAAACCCAATCTTTCTTTCTTTTCTACCTCAGTCAATAATGTAGGCATTATCCCCAGCATCTTTCCCTCGAAATTGCTTGAGTGTGCAGACCTGGAGCAGGTCAGTGGCACCTAAAGTGCCCAGTAGAGTTTTCTTCTCAACAACCAAAGCTATGTTTACATTCAGAGTTACAAAATGCTTTGTGTATATTTTGCCTTTTCATAAAACATATATAAAGATGTTTAAGGTACTTTAAATCAAGTATTGTTTACATCCTTAGCAATAAGTGACTTTGAGTGGTAGTAAGTTTCAGATCAGATCTCCTCACCTTAGTGTTAATCCTCAGATGGTGTCACAGATAAACAAACGCATCCTTTCCCTAACGGTATCCACCCATTAGCCTATGCTTCAGTAAAAACAACTTACCTGGTACACGTTTGTTTTCAGACAATTACACATGTGATAAACTGCAATGTGAAGACTGTGGTCAAGGTAAGAGTGTGCATTTGCTTTTTCTTTTTGTCAAATTCTAAGTCACAATTTAAAAACGGTGCTTGCACACCATAAAATTTTAGTGATTAAAAATTCACTATGAACATAACAAGGAATCCCACACATTATCATTTACGCACCTAGTTAACAGTATCCTAAGAGTTGTATCATTTAGTCAATAACTCATATAGGGGCTGACAGTGGTGCGGTGGCTAGAGCAGTCTAAACCTCCCAGGTTGAAGGTTCGAATCTTGGTGCCTGCATTCCACATGTCAGTGTTCTTGGACAAGACACTGAACCCCCCAAGTTGCCCATGATGGCAGCACATATTCACACAGCGGCCCATGGCCCTCGGCTCCAAACAAAATTTCGTTGTACGCGTCACAATGACAATAAAAAAAAAAAACATAGATTTTGTGTATATAAACTTGGCCTGATGAAAGTCTGCGGCCTGAGTACATGTGATTGAAAGTGTGCAAGATTCTGTTTTCTTCCCAAATTCATAAACTTTGTCAATTCTCTGAACACATTTTCTTTTTTTCTCTAGATGTGCAAAATAATCCTTCCAGGCATGGAGAACAGGTTTTCTACCAATGGTTTCTTCATTAGATGCAATGTGTAATACAACAAAATCATAATGGGGTGCTGTTGTAAGACTACAATAGTTTTTTTTGTTTCCACCACTACAGGGGAAAAGGAGTGATTCTGAATATTTCATCTGGCTTTGCCTCTGTTCCAGTTCCCTATTATATACTGTATTCTGCATCAAAAGTAAGTATAGCATCACCAGTACACCTATAGTCTTCCTAATTCATGTTGTACAGTATGATCACTGCTCTAATTCATGTCCCTGTAGGCATTTATAGAAAGATTTTCTCAAGGTCTTCAAGCTGAATACAGAGATAAAGGGATTATCATACAGGTACTTTAATTCTTATTGAGACTTCAGTTTTTAAATCAAAGGAAGAGGAAATTAAATCTAGTCAGCCTCAATTAAAGTGAGCTTTTTCTTCAAATCTAGAAAAGTTGTCCCTCTCTCTATTCTTCCTGTTTACTCAGGTGGTGGCACCATTTGGGGTCTCCACTCGGATGACATTTTACCAAAAAGCCAGCGTAACTGTACTGACATCAGAAGACTTTGTGAAAAGCTCACTGCAGTACCTCAGAGCTGGAGACAAAACAAACGGCAGTGTCTGCCACATTATTATGGTAAGACTACAAATATCTAACAATGCCAAATAAATGTTAAATAGCATGGTAAAAGACTGATTTGTTCTTGTATGAATGTGGCCTACAGGCCTGGTTGCTGCGCTTTATCCCTTTTGAGGTTATCTACACAGAACGTGTGCTACAAGGCATAAACAACTACATCATGAAGAGAGTAGAGGAACCCATCTCTGCATCAAATGCAACTTTAGAAAATGGCAGAACCAATCAGGGATAGTAAGAAAAAGACATTTGTTACCTATGGTGTTTGCAAATCTGTTTTCTGAAAGTAATGTCATTAAGTAGGTGTCATAGTTCTAGGTGTCATAGTTGATGACAAATTCTCCTGGAAATCGCATATCAGATATGTTCAGAACAAAATAGCAAAAAATATATCGATATTGGCAAGGGTTAGATATATTTTGGACGGGAAAGCACTACGCATTTTGTATTCCTCATTGATTTTACCATACTTAGAGTATGGCGTTGAAAACTGGGGAAATACATACAAAAGCTCACTTCAACCATTGTATATATTACAAAAAAGAGCGATAAGAAGTGTGCATAAGATGGGATATAGGGATCACACCAATGGAGCTTTCATACAGTCTAAATTGTTAAAATTTTTTGATTTAGTGGGA